ATATCAACCCTGTGCTGACAAAGAAACTAATTTTTGACAAAGATAAAATTATCGAGCATAGTTGGATTAAATCAAACACAGTTGGACAAAAACATCAAGCACAGACGGACAAAAATATCAAGCACAGATGGATAAAAACATAAAGCATGGACGGATAAAAATGTCAAGCATGGTCGGATAAAACCATCAAGCACGTACAGATAAATATCAAGCACGTACAGATAAACATCAAGCATGAACAGATAAAAATATCAAGCACATGATAGATAAACATCAAGCATGAACAGATAAAAATATCAAGCACATACAGATAAATATCAAGCACGGAACAGATGAAAATCAAGCATAAACAGGTAAAATGTCAGACATGGAGTGACATTTTGTCTAGCCATGCTTGATATTTTATCGCGCAATGTCTGATAATTTTGTCCAACTCGGCTTGCCATATGGACATGCCTTTTCACCGCATGTTTAAGTATTATGGAAGGGCTTTGAGAGAAACTAATGCTATAACGGCCGAGCAGATGCATGAAGTGGCCAAATACTGCATGATCGATGCTCTTAGCTGTCAGCGGTTAATGGTCAAGCGTAATGTAATTAATGAGTACAGGGAGGTTGCAAACATAGCATTTATTTCATTATCAGATGCGCATTATTTTGCAATAGGGATGAAAGTGAGCAATCTTTTAAGTGCTAGTGCATGGCGGGAAGGGGTTTTAACCAGTATAATTTCAGAACGAACGGAAACAGAATCATTCCCAGGTGCCTACGTCTTCCCACCAATAAAAGGACTCGAAAATAGACGTCCTGTAACTGGCTTAGACTTTGGATCATTATATCCGAGTCTTATTATGACTTACAACCTCTCACCCGATAAAATCATTTTATCTCGAAAACATGCTGAGTTTCTGAGAGATAGTGGCAAAACGCTCCATGAAATTAATTTCAAATTCAATGGTATTGATGTTCTAGCATGGTCTATAAGACATAATAACATCCCTGAAGAAAAGGGTCTCTATGCTATTGTGCTGGAATATTTGTCTGTTAAACGGGTTGAAATAAAAAAACGTCTCGCTCCTGTGAAAGAAAAAAAGAAAGTCATGGAACTGGTAATAGGTTTAATGGATAAAGATTTGTCACTATCAGAAGCTATCGAGCACGTTTTAGCAAAAGCGGAGGAGAAAAACCATGCCAGCCTTAACAAAAATCTATACCATTTTATTAATAAAGAAAAGCATGAATTCATGGCAGAATATGATTCAGTTTGTTTTGAATATTCTTGCTTAGATGCAGGACAAAATGCAATTAAGGTATACATGAACTCATTTTATGGTACAGCTGGAGATAGTAAGTCCCCTTTCTTCTTGCGTGCACTTGCTGGAGGCGTCACATCTACTGGGCGGAGAAATATCAAACTTGTTGCAGATTTCGTTAAAAGCAGGGGTTTCCAAATAAAATATGGAGACACTGATTCCTTATATCTTGTCTGTCCAGAGGAGTGTTTTCAGGAATGTGATGAGCTATATGACTATGGTAATGGGATTCCAAAAGAAGAATATTGGTCTCGAATGGTGGAAATCTCTATGGGGGAAATAGAGAAACTTCGTGATGATATCAATGACTTTCTCAAGGCAGATAACGGATCCCCTTATCTTAAAATGGCATATGAGGAAGTCTTATTCCCGGTAGTATTTACTGGAAAGAAAAAATACTATGGTATCCCACATGAAAGCAAGCCGAACTTTAATAAAAAGCCTTTCATTCGGGGGGTTGAAATTGTGAAACAAGGTCATTCTACTCTTTTCTGCAAAATAGGAAAGCATATTATGGATGAATCTATGAGGCTGGAAAATAGTCGCACTATACATCAAATCATAAAGGATGTTCTTAGGGGATCTGTAAAGGATATTTCTCGGACAGATCTTAATGATTTAATTAAAACTGCTGTCTGGAAACCAGACAAAGATAATAAGTCTGTCCAGCGCTTTATGTCACGAATGCGGGATAGATATACTCGTGAAGAAGCAGACGCCAAACGGCTCATAAAAAAGGGCCTAACACCCAAGCCTTATCTTTATGAAATCCCAGAACCAGGCGAGCGGTTTGAATTTGTTGTAGTTGAGAATGATTTATCACAGAAGGTAGGTGATAAAATGGAGTACCCAGAAGTGGCCAGACAGCTTGGTAAAAAGATCGATATTAGTTATTATCTGAATAGTGTTGTCAGCCTCTGTGCACGTTTTATAAATTATGAAGATATATACCAACCATCACCCGAAGCTGTGCTGGAAGCCTTAAAAAAGTTAAAAGATGCTAATAAAGCAAAACATAATGGAGTGAGTGGTGATGATAAAGCAGATGCTGGTGTGGCGGATGAAGACGACCTGGACGAAGAGGATGAAGACGAAATAGATGAAGATGAGGTATCGAAAATAAGAGATGCCTTAGCTCAGAAATCAGCTGAAAAATGGGTTAGAGGGTATATCAAAGAGCTACATACTGGTCCGAAAAAAAATCATGCCATTATATCCCATCTGTGGAAAGAGGCTAATACTTATGCGAAAAATTTATTTAATAGCACATATGCTGATAAAATAGTAAAATACTCGGGAAATGATGTTTATTGGTCTTCCTATCTCAATGCACTAGATAAGCAAGAGGAATCCATCCGCTTAAAGCTAACAACATTACTCGCAGAAATTTCTAAGATCGATGTTGGCTGTAGAGATAGAATGTATAAATTAGTTACTAAACCCGGTAAGCACAAACCTAAAGCCATGACCTTAGAAAAATATATATTAGCATATATTCAAGAAAATGAATGTGCATTATTAGCTGATTTGCAGAGCATATGGTACAAAATGGTTGGTCTAGAAACCACACGCTATCGGATGTTATCGAAGCTACAGGATGACAAAAAGATAACTCGTCTGAAGCGGATATAGATGATATCATTGAACTATATTGCTAAGTATTCTTAGCCAAATTTGCCAGACCTCAGCTAAGAAACTTACAATATCATTTATAGTAGCATATATTTTTTCGTACAATAATACAGGCTAACTTCAATTCCTATAATCGATCTTCTGGCCTCTGATCCCAAGAGATCATCCTCCGATCATATAGCCTGGCCTTGGATATACCCGGAGATAATCATTAGTATTTTGCATATCAAAGTTTACGATCAGCCAAAAAAATCTACATATTTTAAACTTAAGCTTTATTGATATAATGGCTGAATTACAGGAAAAAGTTTCCCAGTACATAGGCATAAAATCAAGTGAAATCCGTCTCCCAATTACAGAAGAGGATAGACAGGAATTTCGTAAAATAATAGCTGATCAGGAGAAAATGACGGATATTGTCATGGAAGACTATCGATTTTTACAACACCATGGACATAATGGTAAGGGAGGTGACCGGATTCATATTGGATGGTTATTAGGATGTACGGTGGCCGACGCAAAAAAAGTCTTAATAAATCCGCCTGAGCGCCAAGCCGAAAGAGATTTATCAGAAAAGGTATTAGCTCATATCCAAAAAAGATTTGAAGAAGTTCCACTAGCGCCAGTACTTATACGGTAGATGATTAGGTATTATTCCTGGCCTATCTTCGTAATTTTCGTGAGATAAATATCGGTCACTTTTTTTCCACGAATTCCACCATTTCCTGGCCATGAAACATATAATCGTAATAAATACTAGGGTAAGTATAGAATATATTAACATAGGCGACATCGAGGAGCTCGCAATGATAGTAGCAGTCGTCGGTAAAGATACTGCTTCTGCGCCACCTACAGAAATTATTTGGGACGAAGGATTAAGAGTGGAAGGTTGGCCAGAAGGCGCTGTGCATGATGAATCATTCATAAATGGGGATGGCGTATCTACTTCATTATCTTTCTTCGACAGCAATTCTTGAAGATGAGTGTTTTTCTCCATTAATTTTAATCGTTCTGAAGACCAAATATCTAGCTCCCGCTTGTATATGTTATCCGACGCCTCTTTCCCTTTTTCCATACATTCTATTGTATATTCTTTTGAATTAAGGTCTTCCTTCACTCGTTCCAATTCAAGCCTGAGAGAATCGATCTCTTTAGGATCAGATTGGGCTGGCTCCTCTAGAAGTCCTCCCACTGCATTCGAATCATGGAGCACCTGTTCTAGTTCCAAGTCATCCAACTTACCTTCCAATTCACGTACTTTAGTTTCAAGAGAAAGAATCTTGGTCTTGTCGGCGGACGAAGCTTTCTGGACTAAAGCTGTCTCTTATACACATCTAGATGTGTATAAGAGACAGAGTAAGTCCCCTTTCTTCTTGCGTGCACTTGCTGGAGGCGTCACATCTACTGGGCGGAGAAATATCAAACTTGTTGCAGATTTCGTTAAAAGCAGGGGTTTCCAAATAAAATATGGAGACACTGATTCCTTATATCTTGTCTGTCCAGAGGAGTGTTTTCAGGAATGTGATGAGCTATATGACTATGGTAATGGGATTCCAAAAGAAGAATATTGGTCTCGAATGGTGGAAATCTCTATGGGGGAAATAGAGAAACTTCGTGATGATATCAATGACTTTCTCAAGGCAGATAACGGATCCCCTTATCTTAAAATGGCATATGAGGAAGTCTTATTCCCGGTAGTATTTACTGGAAAGAAAAAATACTATGGTATCCCACATGAAAGCAAGCCGAACTTTAATAAAAAGCCTTTCATTCGGGGGGTTGAAATTGTGAAACAAGGTCATTCTACTCTTTTCTGCAAAATAGGAAAGCATATTATGGATGAATCTATGAGGCTGGAAAATAGTCGCACTATACATCAAATCATAAAGGATGTTCTTAGGGGATCTGTAAAGGATATTTCTCGGACAGATCTTAATGATTTAATTAAAACTGCTGTCTGGAAACCAGACAAAGATAATAAGTCTGTCCAGCGCTTTATGTCACGAATGCGGGATAGATATACTCGTGAAGAAGCAGACGCCAAACGGCTCATAAAAAAGGGCCTAACACCCAAGCCTTATCTTTATGAAATCCCAGAACCAGGCGAGCGGTTTGAATTTGTTGTAGTTGAGAATGATTTATCACAGAAGGTAGGTGATAAAATGGAGTACCCAGAAGTGGCCAGACAGCTTGGTAAAAAGATCGATATTAGTTATTATCTGAATAGTGTTGTCAGCCTCTGTGCACGTTTTATAAATTATGAAGATATATACCAACCATCACCCGAAGCTGTGCTGGAAGCCTTAAAAAAGTTAAAAGATGCTAATAAAGCAAAACATAATGGAGTGAGTGGTGATGATAAAGCAGATGCTGGTGTGGCNTGTTTACAGTATTGGTATCTGTCTCTTATACACATCTAGATGTGTATAAGAGACAGCATCAAGCATGAACAGATAAAAATATCAAGCACATACAGATAAATATCAAGCACGGGACAGATGAAAATCAAGCATAAACAGGTAAAATGTCAGACACGGAGTGACATTTTGTCTAGCCATGCTTGATATTTTATCGCGCAATGTCTGATAATTTTGTCCAACTCGGCTTGCCATAGGTATATTGATCGTATCGGCTGTAATTTTCCCGGGATCATCTGTACAAGTCACTGTTATGCAAATCAATTGATATCATGTGATTATAAACAAAAAAAGAAAGTATTTTTTTTCATTTAATTTGATGAATGTTTACTAATTGCTCATTTATTTATTTTATTTTTTTAGGATACATTTTATTAGCGGTGCAAACATTCTGGATTTATTAGTATAAAGTATAAACAGACTTGTTAGAGGTCATAAACTATCCCACCAGCTGGCAAAGTGTATGAAATTTCTTTTAATTCACAAAGAAAGCCTTGCTAAAGTCATCTTTAGTGTAGGTCTAGTAATACATTGCCTTAATTGAGCGTGGCTACGAAGTTTATGATTTTTAAATATATATTATATATCAATATTGATATCTTATGTTTGATTACACAATTTATTTACTATTTAAATTTAATACATTTTTGCTATATATCAATAAATTAACAATAATGAGTGTCCTTATTATATTATTATAATGCATTTTAATAAATTAGTGTTATGATAAATGGCAAAGCTAATCAAGATTTATTTTTTAGCATTAGGTAAATTGAACACAATTTGTATTTTCATTAAAAGGATAAAATTATAAATTTTTATTTTTATTTTTTTTTAAAAAAATCAAATTAAAAAAATTAAGGTTTCATATTGCCTTCATATAGCCAATATAAAGTAGTGATTTGGTAACTAAGACGAAAAAAATGCACTAGCGATCAACCTTATAGTCACATGACAGTCACATGCTAGAAGCAGTTATTCATATAACAACAACATATTCAAAATATATTATTCATATATCAACAACATATTCAAAATATATTGTTTGTATATCAGCAACAGTATTCAAAATATGTTATTCATATATCAACAGCATATTTGAAATATATTAACAACATATTCAAAATATTCATTATATCATTTGTTTAAGTACATGTTTTAACATACTTTGAAAATATTGTAAAATTATTTTATTCATATTACAAAAATATTTACTACACTATATTAGTTTAAGTTTAAATTTCAACATATATTAAAAATATTATAACATTATTTTATTAATATTACAAACATATTGCGTATATTAAAATATATAGAACATATATATACCATCTGTTAGTAATATGTAGTGATTAATGTCTGGACATATTTTGTGAAAACCAGAGGTTTCTGCAAAGTATTTACGTCTCTTGCAGAATCAATAGTTTTATTGGTAAAAGCACATCGTGAATTCAATCCACAAATTCCATTATTACCTTGGTTTCATGGTTCTGAACCCTGTGAACATTTCTTTGGTATTGCTCGTCAAATCAATGCTGATTTTGACTTTGCTGAATTAATACAAATGGTTCCTAAAATTGCTCAATACAATAATGCTTTACGAAATCAAAAATTAAACTTTGACAAAGAAAAAACAGTTAGACAAGGCAATTTTATAATTTAATTAATTAATTATTATTTTTATTACTCATTTATTTTTACATTTAATTTATAAATAACTATTTTCCAATAGGGTATCTTTTTGATTATAATGAAGGCTAATTAAACGATTTGTCTTTAGAAAAATTAAGATTATGGCCCACAGACGAACAAATTATGCAAACTATTCATCATTCTCATCGATTGGCACTTGAACTTACAAAATTTCTTGGCATGATCCAACCTGCAAATCCTGAAAACTTATCTATTGATATAAATAATTCACTTATTACGATTGGCTCACATGAAAATGAAGTTTCAATGTCATATACATATAATGAATGAAACAGATCCATCCTCAAATAGACATAATATTCAAGACATTCAAGAAAATGATGATGACATATCTTCTTCAATAAATATTGCATCAAGAGAAATAAATAGGTCGATATAGTAATAATTTGGATGATGATATTGATTCCTCACCTATTAACATATTTCAGAGTGGTCAAACGCAACTCAATATTATTGATGAATTTTCAGATTCCTTATCAGTTTTAAATAATGGTGATAGTGGTAAGTATTAGATATTTATATTTTAAAGTATTTACAATTTTAAACTAAAAATTATGACAGTTAATTTAGGTTATCAGTACTTTCCGGAAAATACTTTTGAATTTGAAGCTTTACTTAATCAACGTAAATCACATGATGCATATTGTTCAAAACCTCTTGAACGAAAATTTAAAATAAAAGCATCAAATTCAATTAGATTGGATGCATCAAACTCTATTCAACCTAATAAAGCTAGCCATTTAGTTGCATACTTTACGAAGAATGAAAATCCTGAACAGCGATTTATTAAACAAAGAGAAAAAAGATGGAAAGAGAATCGTAAAAATATATCTTTGACACTAGCGCAATTACATACAGAAGAGATAAAAAAACCAAGACAAAAACAGAAGTCAAATAAAAGAAATATTCAATTGGAATTAATTCCAAGTAAGTATATTTATTTTTATTTAATAAATTTTTTTGTAATTATAATATCATTGAATTTAACTAATTAATTATTTTAACATGTAGTTCCCAATATTGAAAATGCAAATATATTCAAGGAATTTCCGCTATTGAAGGGTGATTATGTTTTTGTTCTATATGGCGAAACTATGTGTATAGGAAAGGTTGTAGCAATATATTTTGAGGGTTACAATAACCATTGTTATATAGATGAACCTATTACTAATTTAAATGATATTTCTTATATTTCATTATGTGTTTATTTACCTATTCATCTTGATCTGTTTAGTGACTTTTTGAAATAGGGTTGTAATCTTTTAACGCATCATTTAGCATCTAATATCATTTATCATTTTGGTAAATCAGGAGTATCAATTGATGGAAATATTTTAAAATTATTAGGTAATGAAAAAAAATATTATTTTGATTATTTTGGCCGTAAGGATATTATTCAAAAGATATATGATGTTTTGGGAGGAAGATACTAATAGTCAGATGATCATTTTGCTTATTTTAGATAAATTTTTAAAGTTAGGTTCTTAGAATGCGTATTAATAATAATAAAAACCTATGCGTAGAGCTAATATAAAAAAATTTTAGTTTCACTTGACCTATATATGTATAGCTCGGGGTCCTGTCTAAGATGACGATTTAATTTTATTATATTTCGATGCGATGTACGCCCACGCCGATTAAAAAATCAACACATATTGGAACAAGTAAAGAGGATGTAGAAGAATTTATACATTTAAACGAGTGAAACTATTAGTTTCAAAATGGTGACCAAATTTTTTTTAATTTGGTCAGTAAATATGTCATAATTTACATTAAAAAGGCTAATTATTTTGATTTCTAAAGGATTCTTAGTTTCATATGGAATTTATTAAAAGCTTGTTTTTATGAAATATATTTCAATTCAGCAACATAAATTTTTACTTGGTAATTAGAGTAAATTAGATAAAATTAACTGTCGTTCAATAAATTGGTTAACTAGTAGTAACCTTAAATATTTCTATTCTAATGGAAACTGGAGTTTTCCGGGTCTCGTTCCACAAATATGATGATAATTCATTATGCGGTGAAACTTTTGTGAAACCACTGAACTTCTATAAATATGATCACCGGAAAAACTTCTAAAACTTTAAAAATGAAATTCTTATTTACAAAAAATTAGCTTATTCTTCATAAACCTTATTATTGATTTTTTTATTAGTGTGAACCTGCCCACTTTTGTTATTCATTCGACATATGCTTTTAGCTTATATTAAATTATAAAAGTTCAATGCATCAAAAGTCAATTTTTATCGTCTGTAGCGGAGGTCCTTCTGGCCTTATCTTCGCTCTTTCTTTATCCGAAGTTCTCGTCACGAAAAAAATTTCAGGAAAAATAATTCTTTTTCATGAAGATTATAATATTCGTAATTCAAAGAACCAGTTTTTTTCGGTCAATGAGACTGAAATTTTACGCCTTCCACAAAATGTTCGTGATCATATATCCCCTACATATTCTATACATGAGTTCGAAGACCGACTTTTGGAATTGATTAAAAAACTTCCTGAGGAAACTGTACAACTTATTAACGAAAGGTATTCAGATATATTAAAAATGTGACAATCCGCAGTAGTTTAAGTCTGTTAACTTTTCCATTTATTTCCTCAGGTTTGACCCAGCACAAACCAGTCAAGATCTTAGATTTGATTTATTAGTTCTCGCAGATGGTTATGACGTTAATATTTGTGACAGTTTGCAGTTCGAAAAAGAAGTTATTTCCAATAATTATGAATTAGAAATTAACTTCAATCTTACCGAAAATCATTTGCAAAATAGTGAAATAGAAATTTTACCTTTATATCAAACAAGATATTTGATGCAATTCCAACAAAATAATCAAAATTTTCTTAGAATTGATTTAATGGAATCTGAGTTTGATAATATTGAACTTGACCACAGTTCGAATTCAATAAATAATCCTTGGTTTACTAATATTATACAAGACGGTTTTAGATTCTTTGGAATCAATAATTATGACTTGGTTTCAATCTCAAAGAGCTTAAATAGCTCGTTAACAACTAAAGAATTTTATAAAAGCTATCAACATGCCCAATATGAAAATTTTGAAAATTTTGTGTGTGTGATTGGTGAATCGGCATTTAATTGTAAAACTTGGCAAAATAAAAGGTAATTAATTTTTATTATCAACATCGACGGTAATGCGGTGTATTAATATATCTCTTATCATATGGTATTACATGATAAAATCTTCCAGTATGAACTTCGGAATTGCAATATCAACAGCAACGATATTAGCTGAGCAACTCGCCATTGATCAAGAAATATCATTTAAAATAACTCGTAGTATTCTTGATGAATTTTCCAATAGTATGTTAAACTTTCAAATAGAACTCGTGAATCAACTTCATCTAAGGAGCATGGATAATATTCTTTTAAAAGGTAAATTATCAGAGCACATTTTGACGCTATATTTTTCAAATAATGTTGATATGCCTATAACGAAATTTTATTTAATTATTGTCATCATTATATTTTTTATAAAGTTATGTACAATATTGTTGATACCTATAACCAACAGTATCCAGATGGCCAATTATCCATCGATTCTGATTTTATGCCTACTTTAAAAAAGAATCCTTATAAGAGCACAGGCTTTTTCAATGAATTAAAAAAAGATTACTTTAATAATGTCAAAATTTCAGCACCTGAAATATTCTTTAAAAAACTAGATAGGGTTCAAAATATGGAGAATTATTTTATAATTTTTAAATCTTATTTATCTTCTCATATTTCGGATACAAAAAATATTGAGTATATTGAGTCAAATAAAGGTAATTATTCGTTCCTTATCCTTCTTTTAACAATAATAAAAAGATTTATTGTTATGATTAACTAATATTTTATGTTATAGATGAATGTGTTGAATTGAATCATTCTTCAATTTTACGAGATTTTGATCCTAATAAAAGCCCGGATCAAAAAATTCAAAAAATTGAAAATGATAGTATCAGTCCTGAGGATTCTGATGACTCAACTGATAATGAAACGCAACCTGAATCTTTATCACTTGAGGAATTTTTCCAATTGACTTTTGGAGACGAAGTAATCAGTTATGACGCTACAAATTTTGTAGTAGATGAATTGACGAAAGAAATATTTAAAGCTAAAGTGGAATCTTATTTAAATGATCCTACAAAAGGAATTTTTAGAAATGTATTTCCGTATATTATTGATATAATCAATAGAAACACTCCATTACGACGTATTCAAGATTGCATTAGACAAATTTCAGATTCCAAAGAACCTGATGACCCTCCACAGGTATTAAAACGATTAGTTAACTGCAAAGGGAGAGATTATCTTATAGCATTCCTAGATAAAATGCCTAATAAAGCACTTTCAAAAATCCTTCTTTCTCTAACTCGAGCAAATATTCCTATTCCATTATTATTTACAAATAAGAATGATTTTAATCAAAAAGGTCTTCGAGTATTAAGAGAAATACAAAGCTTAATACTCAGAGATAAATATCATTTATTATTATCATTCAATCTAACTACGAGCGAATTGACTACACCATTCACAAAAATGCTATATCCAAAGATTTGCAAGCACCGTGAAGATGGTTTTAGTATTACTTTGGCTGGTTCAATTGATATTTCTTTTCATTCCGCTTCGGAAAATTATGGACGAAAACCTGTTGCTATAGCTGAAATATACTTTGAAGAAAATCCACATCAGATTTTCCTCAGTCTAATTAGTAGTTTTTCACAATTTGCATTTTACATGTTTTTACACGTAAACGATCAAGATTTTGAAGGAAACTCGCCTTCTAGTGAATTAAATCAACTCCTTAATACTATCTTGGCAGGATCCAATGATCCATATATCTCAAAAATATCTGCAATATATTGGAGCAAATCAAAAAAAAATAATGATTCTTTCAGTAAACGTAAAAAGACTTTAAAAAAATTACTGAAATCACGCTTCAATTCTGAATGTATTAAAATTGAGCAAATTTCTAACGATTTAAATCTATTTGCTGAAAAGAAAAAAGATGACGTAATGAGAAAACTGACAAAATTTGAAACAAAAATTATCCATCCATCATTAGTTCTTAAATTATTAGATGGAAGTACTTTAAATATTTGGAAAAATGTAACTGAAAAATCTTCATTTGCATTTAAAATGAAGTCTATCAAATTTAATAGCAGATCAGATATTTTTCGTGCGACTCATTTAGAACATGAGATCGAAGCATTAAATGATAAGAGATCCGCAGAATCACAAGAGAATTCAAAGTTCATGTCTGAAGGAGAAATTTTAAATAGAATAGAACAATGCCGAAATGAAAAATTGGAACTTGGTGGTGCAAAAGAAAAATTATCAATTTTTATTGATTTTGCACAATTAATAAATGAAAATAGTATAGAAAAAATGAGAGATTTTTCCCGTCAAATTGATGATTTTTTCAAAAAATATTTGCATGAATTACAAAATTCAAATAACGACATAGAACGAGCTGAAATCAATCAGATAGTCGAAGAAAATGATATATCTATCCATGACTTTTGGCGTGAATTTATTATATTATCTGAATCGAATAATGATTATAAATCGGTGTTAGAACAATTGTAAGAATCGATATTTAAAGGTCGATTAAAAAATTTATACTAACTTATAAATTTATTTTTCTTAAATTAGGTATAATGTCAACAAACGAAAGTTACAAGAAGCGTATAAAACATGGATTCTTGAAGGAGAACCTTTACAATTACTCGATGGTTTATCATTACGTTCTCTTCCAACAAAGTTTTTATCCAATGTTTTAAGTAACTTAATGACAAATGTCGGAAGAAGATTAATAATAATTTCTGTTATTGGACTTGAAAGTTCAGGGAAATCCACTCTTTTAAATTATTTATTCCATTGTGGATTTGCAACTTCAGCTTCAAGATGGTAAATTTTTCGTTTAGTAATTATTTGCAATTCTTTAACTATTAATTATTATTTTTTTTTTAGCACCAAAGGAGTATATATGAGTTATCGAACCACAAATTTTAATGGAAATACGATTGATCTGTTAATTCTTGATTCCGAAGGAATGGCATCAACTGCTCAAAAATATTTTACTCATCGTACTAGCTTTGATGAAAAGATAACACTATTAGCATTAATGTGTTCACAAATTGTAATAATTAATGCAAAAGGATTAACAAGAGATATTGGTGATATTTTGGAAGTATCTTCATGGCATTTGGACGCTCTTAGACATAGACAATCAAAACCAAGATTACATTTTGTACTTCGTGATATGATTGATACGATAGAAGCTCAAGAACCAGCATTTAAGGATATTGTTGATGGACTAAAAAAAACGTTTGAACAGATTCCTGGTTGTGTAGGCACATTAGAAGATTACATGTCAGTTGAACAACAAGACGTTCATTTGTTAGATAACGCATTCTGCTGTTATCAAGATGATTTTCGTCCTCGTGTTGCCAATATTGGTAAAACCGAAAATGTCAATTTGCCAGCCGTGAGTGTTAGGTTAACCAACAATTTGGTTTATTATCACTTAAATTCAAATCAATAATGTCTTTCGTTTAATATAGGAGGTATTTCCTGCAAAAATTTCAAGTTTACGAATATCACTCTTAAAATCTGCTTTATTACAGCAAAATACATCAGAACAATTCACAAATGTACAAGGTAATAAAATTATCTGATATGCATTCGTATTTGTATTTCTATTTACAACTATTTTATGTAATTAAATCATTTTAGGATTTATTCCATATATGAAAACCGTATGGAGTAAAATTAATACATACGGAAGTTTTCTTCACTTTGAAAACTTTAAAGCGATACAAGCATGGCATCAAATGCGTAATATTGTTAGCGAGATTAAAGAAAATAAATTACCGGAATTTACTACAAATTCTAAGATTATAATCAATGATTATGTTACAAAAATTAAATTAGATTATTCAAAATGGGATCAAATTGAAAAAGAATTTATAAAAGAATTGGAATTGCTTACAGATAAATGGACAAAAGATAATTTAAAGAATTATTCAGAATTAGTACAAGAACAATTTGATATAAATACTGTAGAAGAAGGTAAAAGATTAATTTATAATATGATTACAGAAGAAAGAAGAGAACAAGAAAGTCAATGGATGTTATTAATTCAAGAATATAAAGATTCTTGGTTATCAGATTGTGCTATAGAAAAAGTTGGTAAAAGAATCAAAGGATTAAATACTACTAATTTAAAAAGGGATGAAGCTGAATGTAAAAAAATATTTGAAGAAATTTGGAAAGAGGTAGAAGATGATAAAATAGAATTTAATCGACAAATGGTATTACAGCCAGAAGTATTAGAGCAACATGTTCAATTAACCTTTGTTAATGCTGTTAATGAATTTGGTTCAACAGTTCGTCAAGGTTCAAAACAGAAAGAAAAAGAAAAATTTAAAAGAGATTTTTGGACAAGTATAAAGAAACCATCAACTTTAGAAAAACATATTAGGATTGACGTAGAACAAATTCAAAATATAATAAAAATAAATACTCATTTTAATTTCTTTACTGTAAAAAAGAATGTTAACAAAAGAGAAATTGCAGAAGAAATCGAAAGTAAATTGAAGCAAACAATTAACGGAATTACTTATGACTTAGAACAAAAATTGTCTCTACATATTGAATATAGGCAAGCGATCAAATGGCTCGTGACATTATGTGATTGTTTATTTGAGTTTGCACAATCATTAAATAATAAAATTGAGTTTAAATCTGACCTTGATTTTTTCGAGGTAATTATTTTATTAATATATTATGATAGTTAATATAATGGCTACTTTTTATATGCTTACATATATTAATCTAATATTTACTACTTTTATTTACAGAAATATTTAAGATCACAAATATATAGGACATTGAAGAATAATACTATTAAATGGGAAAATAAACAAAAAGAAAAATTGGATAGCCTGAAAAAAAATTTATTGTCATCATTTCAAAAGATTTTAACAGATTTTTCCAACGAAAGTCTTTCTAAGGAAGTTCTTAAATATATATTAATAGCATTTAGACAACAATTGGACATGAAAGAAAAAACAATAGATCAAAAGCTTCGGATATATTTAAAAAAAGGTTGGATGGATACAAATACAGCAGCAAATCATGCTTATAGCCAAAGTTTTGGTGCATACAATATTAATGCAATTCGAGAATACCTTAAGAATCCAACAGAATATATGTCCAACCTTTTTAATACTGAATATAATAAATATAGCGAAGCTTTGATAGAATCCGTACTACGTGAAATTGATGAATATTATATAAATACAAAGGATAATATACTAAATGGTATACCTGAATGGAATAAATTATTCGAAAATTATGATCAATTGTCATTATCAAAATTTTTTCATTATTTGTCTGGGCATTCAAATTCTCAAGAATATAATTCATTAAGAGAAGCCGTACCAAAATATGATCTTTTTGAAATTTTAAAAGATTCAAATAATTTGCTTGGAAGTTTTATTATTGAAAATCCCGTTGATTTTTGTAACTTACTTTGTAAATCCCTGATTGAAAGTCTTACAAATATGCAAACTACATGGATTAATACAGAAAGATTTATAAAAAAAGAAAGAATACAAGCTCATTTGGAAACAAAAAATACCTTAATGTCTTATTGGGATCGACTTGGTTGTTCAGCAAGATGTCCACTTTGTTCTTCCAAGTGTGAGTTACCAGATGATGGTCATACCCAACATCAAGTATCTAAACATTTACTTCCAGCTTTTACCGGTGTTTGTGATGTAAAAACAAGGTTTCCAACTTTAATCATATGTACTGAAGATGAAGCTCATAACACTAGCACATGGGGATGTAATGAGGATTCAATCTATTTACCACTCACCAAATTTTTGTCTAAGTATCATCCGTCATGGCTTCCTTTTCCTCGCTCAGAACCTTCTGATGAACATGTAGCAAAAATGCGTGCAATCTGGTGGAAACTTAAAGATGAACTTTGTGAAAAATATGACATGACTGATAATACTAATCCATTATGGGGACCAAGATACGAAAATCTCATTCCAGAATAACAGGAAACAATTTTTTTTTTGCTTAGTTATTTTGTTTTTATTTACATGATTATACTACCTGTACATCTACTATATATATTTAAATGAAATCAATTATTAAAAAACATATTTAATAAATATTAGTTGTTGGATGTTTTAAACTAATTAATTATACATGTAACAGAACTTTCTGTATTTTATATAATTAATAAACTCAAAAATTGCACTACCAAAAAAAAAAAATATTAGTTGTTGGATAGCGATGCTAAAATATCTCACAATTCGGAATATCACTATACGATAACTGTGCGTGTTCGGCAGATCCTATTTGAATTATATAATTAAAGTAATTGTAAATCTAACTTTCAGTCTGTTGTTTGAATATAAAAAATGAATTTTTTGATTAATCAATCACATATTTTAAAGTTATCAAATCTTATATCAAATATTCTAAATTTTAATGTGTTTTAAAGAACCTACTATAATGTTACAAGAATGTTTATAATAATAAAGGCCATTATTAAGTATACCAAATAATTATTGCTAAAAAAATCTATACGGTATTACCAATTTTTGTGTTTAAAAAATAGAACTTTGGTGTTGTCAAATTTATTTTGAATAAGACTAGGATGACATAAGAATACCCATTTTTTTAAGCTCAATAAATTTAAAATCATAAATTAAAATAATTAAATTAATTTATTACTGATAAGTTTGACAATATAACTTAAAATATTTTGTCCAATAATATTTGTAAAGTATACAATATAAGCAAGAATTACTAAAACTGATTGTAAACATACGTACTTCAATTTTTAACACAAAAAAAAATCCAGAAGCTATTGAAGAACTATACTTTGGCTTAAAAAAGTATTTATCAAATTATTTTCAAATAAAAATTTTTTGATATCCGCCCTGAGACTTTATTTAAAACATTGTGCTAACTGATAATATTATATTTATTATGTTTTAATAATGGGCAATTATAAATCATACAAATGCAAATGAATGATTTCTAATTATCATGTTAATAAGTTCCCTCATTTGTATTATAATTTCATTTGCTGACGGCTCAATTACATATATTCATATGACTAGTATAACTTTAAATTGCTAATAGAGTTTCGTCAGCTAGATTGTTGTTCTCTTTATAATTACTAAAATTCATCAAAGTCCTTCTTGTAAATTTGCCTAATAGCCATTACATGATGATATTTTACCAAGCTTCTTACTAATACTTATCTCAATCTTATTTTCTATACTAATAAACTTAAATATCCATATGACCATAGGTATATATTATGCACGTTCCAGTCGTTCCATACTCGTCTCGTACACCAAATTCAGCGTTTTCATTTAATACCTTTTTCGCCGTTAATACTATATTTTCGTTATCTGGCACGATCTTGATCTTGCAATCACTAGGAAATATTATTAACACCATTATATTTCTAAATCATTTACTCTCATTCTATTCATTACCGTATAGCATGACTAAGGGCATTTCGGCGTACCCCCCTTATAATATACCGGGTATGATATGTAGAGGATAATTTTAATTCTGGTAAAATTAGGTTAATTTCGGCTGATTTTTCCATGTTAATACCCTTGGGTACGATTCAATTTTTTAGTACCCGGGGGTGCCTTAGTCAATGCTATAAGGTATTTTGCGTTGAATTTGTCTATCACTTTACCATTTTTATCTATTCTCACTCATTCCATCCCTCGTTTATCACACCTGTGTAGAAACAACTTCATCTTTTTCTTCTAACATTTTTAACCATTTTTTTTGTAACTTCTTTCTGTAAATTTCTTCTTTACATATATCTTTGATTATCTAGATTCTTTTATTTAATAAAATTAAATCCTATTATGCTTTTTTCATTAAATACTTCGAATCTTTCCCTCCTTTGTGATCTCTGTAAAAAATTTTATCCGTAATTACTTGTAAAACTTCGTGAATATGATACATTTACGGAAATAACATGGAATAAAAAAACACGGAATAAATTTTTTATAGGGGATCTGTACATTCCCTCATTCCTTCTAACTCTTCATATTCCTACTAATTTCATAACTTCTCTACTATCCTAATTTTTAATCATTATACTGTATTTTCTAATTCTTTATACCACGATGGAATAGCACCTATATTAGTTTCATATGTAATTTGACGTCAAGTTTAAACCTATTCTCTTCTGTTATCAATTGTGAAACATATGTTTATTTACTAATTTTAAACTTTTAGAAAGATTTTATTATCAATCATTTAACGAATCACGTGAACATAATCTTTATTTTTATTTTTTTCTTTTTATTGAAATAAGGGAAGAGTATTTATACAATCTCTTAAAACAACTAACATTCAATTACATCAGAAATGAAATCTCCTGCCACGCCCCAGCCAATGTTATTCTTCTCCTTCTCCGAGCAAACATCGGGAATTTTTTTTATATGTAAAAAATATGCAATATTTTGTGCATGAAAAACTGATTTGCACACCCTGAAAATGCACATAAATTGTATATTTAATATATATTATGTATTTTCCATTCAATATATTATAAAAAAATTTGCTAATTTTTATATAAATTTGTACAAAGAATTATACATATAATATTGTTAGTTATATTGCATAAATTTCGAGAAATTTAACTATTTGTGCAATATTGAATACCCTGAAAATTTTGTGATGAAGTTACTGACCCTCATTTAATCCCTTAGTCAGCTCTTGTGACAACTATAGCCATCACCTTTATGCTATAGCTTTCTAAACCCTCAAAACATAAATAATAAGTAATGGGGATGTCTGCTAAAATTTAGAATCGTGGTATGCTACATACATTTTTTGTAAAAAAAAAAAATTACTAGCAGAAATACCACATACACGAAGACTAGTCTAAAAAAAAACAAAACAAAATTCACAAACCCAGAAAATAATATAAATATTTTTTTCTGTAATGGCCTTGACTCGGGATATAAAGCTCTATCCAAAGGTAACTGAATTCCTTTCTTCGCCCGAACATCGTCGATCGTATCTTCTTCCGTTTCACGTGACTTGTATGACTGGCTGCGGCTACCGAAATGTGAACATAATCTAGTAAATATACTAGTATATTACGTTTATTTCTTGGCAACATACTGATTTATAAGTATAATATTAATTCAATTTAATATTAATTAATATAATATGAATTATACTATATCGATATATACTGTATTATAATTCTCCGGGAAGCCATAATTTGATACCATTTTTTTTGCCCAGATGACCAGCAAAATTAATCCCAGATTTATACAGATTGACAATATAGTTTCTAAATTTATTTTTGATTTTTTTTTTCGTTCATTATGCAGTGAAACTTTCGTGAAACCACTGGATCTTAATAAATAAGAATTCCGGAAAAACTCTAAAATTTAAATGAAATTAATGATTGCATTTTCTAATTCTTTTACAAAAAATTAACTTATATTCTTCATAAATCTTATTGTTGATTTTTTTTACTAGGCTTATTATTATTTTATTCGACATAAACGTCTAGCTTACAATAAATTAGAAGGAGCTCAATGCTTCAAAAGCCAATTATTGTCGTCTGTAGCGGAGGTCTTTCTGGCCTTGTCTTCGCTCTTTCATTAGCCGAAATTTTTGTTACGAAAGAAATTTCAGGAAAAATTCTTCTTTATCATGAAGATTATAAAGTTCGTAATTCGAAGAACCAGCTTTATTCAATCAATGAGACAGAAATCTTACACCTTCCACAAAGTGTCCGTGATTATGTATCTCCTACATATTCTATGCATGAATTAGAAGACCGACTTTTGGAATTGATTAAAAAACTTCCTAAGGAAACTGTCCAACTTATTCACGAAAGGTATATATTATAAAATGTATCAACCCGCAGTAATTTAAGTCTCGAAAGTCAACTCTCGTTAACATTTCTATTTCATTTCATCAAGGTTTGATCCTGTACAAGCCAGTCAAGATCTTAGATTTGATTTATTAGTTCTCGCGGATGGTTATAACGTTAACCTTTGTGACGAAAAAGAAGTTATTTCCAATCATTATGAATTAGAAATTAACTTTAATCTTACCGATAATCATTTGCAGAGTAGTGAAATAGAGATCTTATCTTTATTTCAAACTAGATATTTGATACAATTCCAACAAAATAATCAAAGAGTTCTTAAAATAAATTTATCGAAATCTGAATTCGACAATATTGAACTTGACCCGAGTTCAAATTCAATAAAGAATAATCCTTGGTTTATGAATATTATACGAGATGGTTTTAGGTTCTTTGAAATCAATAATTATGACTTAATTTCAATCACAAAGAACTCAAATAACTCATCAGTAGTTAAAGAATTCTACAATGGCCAAAATGGAAATTTTGAAAATTTTGTATGTGTGATTGGCGAATCGGCATTTGATTGTAAATCTTGGCAAAATAAAAGGTAATTAATTTATGTCACTATATCATCAACATTGGTAGTAACGCAATGTGTATTAATACTTTGTATCTCGTATGAAATGATAAACTTTTCAGTATGAATCTCGGAATTGCAATATCAACAGCAACGATATTAGTTGAGCAATTTACCGTTGAACAAGGAGTATCATTTGAAATAACTAGTAGTATTCTCGTTAAATTTTCCAATGGGATGTTAAACTTTCAAAAAGAACTCGTGAATCAATTTCAACAAAAAAGCATGGATAACATTCTTTCAAAAGGTATACTAATTATTAAAATATATTCTGTCGGCATATTTTTTTCATTAACGTTGATATGTCTATAACAAATTTGTTTATCTATTTCTTTCTTTCTTTCTTTCTTTCTTTTTTTTAGTTATTCACAATATTATTGATAATTATAATAAACAGTATTCAGATGATCAATCGTCTATCGACTCCTCCGATTTTATGTCTACTCTGAGCAAATATCCACGATTATTTGAGATTGATCATACTTTTGATTATAAAAGCACAAGTGTTCTCGATGGGTTAAGAGAAGAATACGTTAATAATGTAATAATTTCTGCGCCTGAAATATTCTTTAAAAATCTAGATAGAATTCAAAGTATGGTAAATTATTTTATAATTTTTGAATCACATTTATCTTCTCATAATCCATATACAAAGAATGTAGGGTCAAATAAAGGTAATTTTTCATTATTTATATTCTTTCTTTAAATAAAAAAAATGATTTATAATTAATTAATATCTTATTTATAGATGCGTGGGTTGAATTAAGTCAATCTTTAATTCTACAAAATTTTGATTCTAATAAAAATCTGGATCAAAAAATTGAAAATGAAAATATCTCTGATACAAGTTCTGAAGATTCTGATGACTCATCTGTTGGTGAAACGCAATCTGAATCTTTATCACTTGAGGAGTTTTTCCAAATGACTTTTGGAGACGAAATAATCAGTTATGACGCTACAAACTTTGTAACGGATGAATTGACTAAAGAAATATTTAAAGTTAAAGTGAAACCTTCTTTAAGTGATCCTACAAATGGAATTCTTAGAAATATATTTCCGTATATCGTCGATATAATTAATAGAACCATTCCATTACAACGTATTCAAGATTGCATTAGGCAAATTTCAGATTCTAAAGAGCTTAATGACCCTTCACAGGCATTAAACCGATTAGTTAACTGCAAAGGGAGAGATTATCTTGTAGCTTTCTTGGATAAAGTACCAAAAAAAGCACTTTCAAAAATCCTTCTTTCACTGACTCGAGCAAATATTCCTATTCCATTATTATTTACAAACAAAAATGATTTTAATCAAAAAGGTCTTCGAGTATTAAAAGAAATTCAAAGCTTAATACTTAGAGATAAATATCATTTATTATTATCATTCAATCTAACTACGAGCGAATTGACTACACCATTCTCAAAAAAGCTTTATCCAATTATTTGTAAACATCGTGAAGATGGTTTAAGTGTTACTTCGGCTGGTTCAATTGATATTTCTTTTCATTCCGCTTCGGAAAATTATGGACGAAAACCTGTTGCTATAGCTGAAGTATACTTTGAAGAAAGCCCACATCAAACTTTTCTTAGTCTAATTAATAGCTTCTCGCAGTTTGCATTTTACATGTTTTTACACGTAAATGATCAAGATTTTGAAGGAAATTCACCATCTAATGAGTTAAATCAACTTTTTAATACTATCTTAGCGGAATCCAATGATATATCATACATCTCAAAATTATCTGTGATATATTGGAGTAAATCAAAAAATAATGATCCTTTCAGTAAACGTAAAAAGACTTTAAAAAAATTACTGAAATCACGCTTCAATTCTGAATGTATTAAAATTGAGCAAATTTCTAACGATTTAAATCTATTTGCTGAAAAGAGAAAAGATGATGTAATGGAACAACTATCAAAACTTGAAGTAAAAATTATTCATCCATCCCTATTTCTTAAATTATTAGATGGAAGTACTCTAAATATTTGGAAAAGTGTAACTGAAGAATCTTCATTCGCTTCTAAAATGAAGACTATCAAATTTAATAGCAGATCAGATATTTTTCGTGCGACTCATTTAGAACATGAGATTGAAGCATTAAATGATAAGAAATCTACGACAGAATCACAAGTGAATTCAAAATTCATGTCTGAAGGAGAAATTTTAAATAGGATTAAAAAATGTCGAAAAGAACAATTAGAACTTGGGGCAGAAAAGCCACTAACAATTTTTATTGATTTTGCACAATTAATTAATGAAAATAATATAGAAAAAATACGAGATTTTTCCTGTCAAATTGATGATTTTTTTAAAAAATATCTACGCGATTTACAAAATTCAAAGAACGATATAGAACGAACTAAAATCAAACAGATTATCGAAGAAAATGATATTTCCATTCATGACTTTTGGCGTGAATTTATTATATTGTCTGAATTGAATAATGCTCGTAAATCAGTATTAGAACAGTTGTAAGTATCTATATTTAAAAATCGATCAAAATTTTTATACAAATTTATAAATTTATTTTTATTAAATTAGATATGATGTCAATAAACCAAAGTTACAAGAAGCGTATAAAACATGGATTCTTGAAGGAGAACCTTTACAATTACTCGATGGTTTATCATTACGTTCTCTTCCAACAAAGTTTTTATCCAATGTTTTGAGTAACTTGATGACAAATGTCGGAAGAAGATTAATAGTAATTTCAGTTATTGGACTTGAAAGTTCAGGAAAATCCACTCTTTTAAATTATTTATTCCATTGTGGATTTGCAACTTCAGCTTCAAGATGGTAAATATTTTGCTTTACCTTTCTTTAGTAACTAAGAATTAATAATTTTTTTTAGTACCAAAGGAGTATATATGAGTTATCGAACCACGAATTTCAATGGAAATACGATTGATCTGTTAATTCTTGATTCTGAAGGAATGGCATCAACTGCTCAAAAATATATTACTCACCGTACCAGTTTTGATAAAAAGATAACACTCTTGGCTTTAATGTGTTCACAAATTATAATTATTAATACAAAAGGACTAACAAGAGATATTGGTGATATTTTAGAAGTATCTTCATGGCACTTGGACGCTCTTAGACATAGACAATCAAAACCAAGATTACATTTTGTACTTCGTGATATGGTTGATACGATAGAAGCTCAAGAGCCAGCGTTTAAGGATATTGTTGATGGACTAAAAAAAATGTTTAAACAGATTCCTGGCTGTGTAGATTCATTAGAAGATTTTATGTCTGTCGAACAGCAAGATGTTCACTTATTAGAAAATGCATTCTGTTGTTATCAAGATGATTTTCGTCCTCGTGTTACCAATATCGGAGAAACTGAAAATGTTAATTTACCAGCAGTAAGTATATTCTGTTTCTATTCTTGCTCGGTATTCTTAAATTATTGATTAAGTCTTTAAATAGGAAGTATTTCCCGCAAAAATTTCAAGTTTAAGACAATCACTCCTAAAATCTGCTTTACTGCATAAGAATGCGTCGGAACATTTCACAAATGTTCAAGGTAAATTGTCTGGCGTGTATATTTTTTTCTACAATACCAAATAATTATATAATTTTATTTTTTTAGGATTTATTCCATATATGAAAACAGTATGGAGTAAAATTAATACATATGGAAGTTTCCTTCATTTTGAAAGTTTCAAAGCGATTCAAGCATGGTATCAAATGCGTAATATTGTTAATATTATTAAAGAAAACAATCTTCCGGAATTCACTTCTCGTGCTAAAAATACAATTAATTGTTATGTTAAGAAAATTCAAGTAGACTACTCAAAATGGACTCCGATTGAAACAGAATTTAGAATGGAATTAGATTCGTTAACAGACAATTGGAAAAGAAATAGTTTAAGAAATTATTCTGAATTAGTACAGGAACAATTTGATGCCAATACTGTCGAAGAGGGAAAAAGGCTTATTTATAATATGATTTCGGAAGAAAGAAGAGAACAAGACGCGCAATGGATGTCGTTAGTAAGAGAATATAAAGATTCTTGGCTATCAAAATGTGCGATAGAAAAAGTTGGTAATAAAATTAGAGGACTAGGCTTTAAAAAGATTAATGAAGCAGAATGTACAAAAATATTTGAAGATATTTGGAAAGAAGTAGATGATGATAAAAAGGAATTCTATCGTCAGATGGTATATCAGTCAGAAGAATTAAAACAACATGTTCAAGTAACTTTTAATAATGCTGTTAATGAATTTAGTTCAACAGTTCGTCAAGATTCAAAACAAAAAGAAAAAGAAAAGTTTAAAAGAGATTTTTGGACAAGCATAAAGAAACCATCAACCTTGGAAGAAAATATTAATATTAATATACAACAAATTCAATGTATAATTGAAGTTAAACCAAATATTATGAGCTTCGGTTTTCTTATGAAAAATTCGAAAAAAAAGATAGCTAAAGATATTTATGACAAATTGACGCGAACAATTAATGGAATTACTTTTGACTTAAAACATAAAACATCTTTACATATTGAATACGGACAAGCGATCAAATGGTTTGAAACGTTATGTAACTGTTTATTTGACTTTACACAACAAACTAGTAATATGGAATTTAAGACTGACTTTGATTTTATTGAGGTAATTAAATGATAGAATTTTATATATTTGTAACATTTAAAACAATAGTTTCTTGATATTTTGCATGCTTACAAATCTAATATTCGAATATTTTTTATTTACAGAAATATTTTAGATCACAAATATATAAAACATTAAGGAATAATACTATTAAATGGGAAAAACAACAAAAAGAAAAATCGGATAACCTGAAAAAGGATTTACTATTATCTTTTCAAAAAATTTTAACAGATTTTTCCAATGAAAATCTTTCCAAAGAAATGCTTAAATATATTTTAATAGCCTTTAAGCAGCAAATGTCAGTAATAGAAAAAACAGTTGATCGAAAACTTCAAATCTATTTGAGAGAAAGTTGGACAGACACATATACAGCAACCAATTATGCGTATAAACAAAGTTTTGATGCATTGAACATTAATGCAATTCGAGAATATCTTAAAGATCCGATAGAATATATGACAACCCTTTTTAATTCTGATTATGCAGTATATAAAGTAAGTTTGACGAATTCTATATTACGTGAAATTGATGAATATTACAAAAATACAAAGGAAAACCTATTAAAGGCTGTTTCTGAATGGAGTGCATTATTCGATCCAGAGCAAATATATGAACAACTGCAATTATCAAGCTTTCTTCTTTATTTATCTGGAAAGTCAATTTCTTCTAAAGAATATAATTTATTAAGAACATCTATGCAGCGAAAGCATAATATTAATATGAATATGACACCACCGGAGTATGATTTTTCCGAAATTTTAAAGGATGTAGATAAACTACTTGGAAGTATTACCATTGAAAAACCTGTTTATTTTTGTGAATTACTTTGTAAGTCCATAACAGAAGGAGATAGTATACAAAATATATGGACTGATACAGAAAGAAATGAATCGAAGAAAAGAATGAATACGTATTTAGAAACAAAAATAAGCTATTATAATCAAATTGGTTGTTCAGCAAGATGTCCACTATGCTCTTCTAAATGTGAGCTACCTGATGATGATCATACTCAACATCAAGTAACTAAACATTTGCTTCCAGCTTTTAATGGTTGTCGGAACAGAGAAACAAAGTATCCATCTTTAATTGTATGTACCGAGGATAAAGCTCATGACGAGAGATTATGGGGATATAGTAAAAAGGATCAAAATTTATTACCACTCTCTGAATTTTTGTCTAAATATCATCCATCATGGCTTCCTTTTCCCCGATCAGAACCTTCTGATGAACATATAACAAAAATGCGTGCGATCTGGTATAAACTTAAAGATGAACTCTGTAAAAAACATGACATGGTTGATAATACTGATCCATCATGGGAATTCAGATACGGAGGTCTCATTCCAGAATAAGTTGGGAGAATTTGTTTTGTTAACTTACAATAATTTTTATTTTATTTTATTTTATTTTATTTATTTATTTGTTTGTTTGTTTTTACTTACAATGTAAAATCAAAATCATGTGAGCAAAGAATTACTACATACTAGTATATAAGAATTGTGGTAATGGATTTTGGTAAAGGGGTCGTAATTTTCATCTTCCTAAAAATCATTTAAGAGTAAATCAAAAACTAATGTTCTTTTTAGTAAATGATATATGAAACCTTTTATTTATTCTTTGCCATAAACCGGTGTTAGACCAATTATAAATATTTTAAATTAACGAATTTTTTTAATAAAAATTAATGTCAATAAATAAGTATATAAAACAAGGAAACCTTTACAGTTGTTCGATGGCTTATCGTTACGTTCTCTTTCAAAAATTATTTATCTAGTGTTTTAAGCAATAATGTTAATTTATTGGGCTTGTAAATTCAGGGAAATCTACTCTCTTTATTTCTCTTTATTTCATTGCGAATTCGCAACTTCAGCCTCAAGATGATTAATTTTAAATCATTTTATCCTTCTTTACTAAGAAAAAATTTATTTTTTTTTTGTTACTTAAAAAAGTGTACAGTATATAAATGGTTTATTAATTCTTAATTTCGAAAGAATGGCTTCAATCGCTCAAAAATATATTACTCATCATACCAGCTTTGATAAAAAAATACAAATTTTTCTACGAACGGTAGGTAGCTTTGAAACTCTGAGACGTGGATATTCAAAACTAACACTACGGTTCGTTCTTGGTTAATGCATCAGAAACTCAAGAATCAGCATTAAGAATACCACTGACGTCTCACCTGTCACTAAGTTTCTGTTGAGGTTTAATAATGGCAATTTTCAATTTTTGTATTTTTACGTGATTAGGGAAATTTGCGATAACAACATAATTTGAAAATTGGTGTCCCTAAGTTTTATTTCTTTTTTCAGCTCGGAAATTTTATTTGTAAATCATTTTTTTTTTCTAATTTAACCAACTACTCGCATCTTAAACAGAGAGAGGGTAATAATAGTGAGAATATTTTGACAAAGAATATTATACCATGAAGTCATGGTATTCTAAAAGCTATTTATGCACTGCATATCTTATGAAAGAAAACTATATCATACCGTTTATACAAACTTTTGCTCACCATTAGCATGAACGGGCCATGTGAATCGAGCACCTGGAATGCGCAGTGCGATATCGGAAAAATTCTTGCCGAAAGATATACCGCAGTACGTTCATTTTAATTTCCCCAGTATCACCGTAGAAAAATGTCACATTCACGTGATCGTTTTTTATTCATCACAACCGTCACACCCCACTGCGTTTCCATTTTCTATAAGTATCTGAGGGACTTAGTTTTTTTCGAGTAGGCAAAACCTTATTCATCACCTCTTATTCGTCACTGTTTATTTTCACGTGTTAGTGCATAACGCCGTAATGCGGGCCAAATGTGACATTTTTCTACGGTGATACTGGGGAAGTTGTTCATTTTTAGCGTAATGTCTAGGGGTGTGGGGGTCCAACTGGTTGGTTACACAATATAATTTCGTATTACCAAACTGTCACTACCGTCACCCCTGAATTTTATTATTTTAATATATCCAAGACAACATTCCAAGCCTAAAACTTTTGACACACAACGTTTCTAAAAGCCGATGTTCGAGAGTAGATTAGTGTTGGTAAGAGTCATATATTTGCAAATTTTCATGTCTATTAGAGCGTTATTGGGTTTCTCAGGTCAAAGTTTTAATATAGCTTATTAGAAAAACTATTATTTCGAAATATGTATTAAAAAAATTTTTTTAAAAAACAATGAAAAATATGTTTTTAACAATAAATATCACTTTTATA